CGGTAAATCGAATTGAGTTCTCTCAGTCAATGTCCGTTTTTCTAAAAATAAATACGCTTACATTCACCTTCATCCCTGGCGTGTGCCAACGGCTTAGTGGTAGAACCCCCGGCTGAATTGGCGTCAGTCGGGTTTCGATCCTATCTAGAGGAAACCGGACGTCTAGCCACATTGTCTGTTGATGACAATATATATATATGCAGAAGAAGAAGATGAAAAGCATCAAAAGCTACAGTAATTCGAAAAAAACGGGAAGAGGAGGAGAAGTAAAAGCCAGAAGAATAAAAGGAAGATGTGAAGAAAAAGAGAGGTAATGAAGGAGAGGAAGAAGAAAAAGAAATGGAGAAGAAGTCGATACTATAAGAACAAAATGAATAATAATAATACAAGAACGACAACAAGTATAGACATGATTGGGTTGGAAAAGTGATCTACTAGCAACTATGCAAACAAATCAGTGGTATATTCAAAATTTAAAGCCTTTCTTTGAGATTAAAATAAAACATAGCATTTTTTGGAAATTTGAAATTCAAATAGAGATCACCCAGTCTAGTTCATAATATCAGATCTATTCCTTGAGGAGAGAAAGAAAATATGTCTGCTCGTGGGTTTTATTGCTTCAGCAGACGCCAAATTAAAACGGTAAGAAAATGAAAAATAACTGAAAAGCATTATGGAATATGGAATTAGTATTGACTGTCAACATTTGAACACTTGGAATAGTACCGAAAACTTTGCAGATTGGTAAAAATTTACAATTCAGGGAAGAATCGAAGTAAAAGGTTTGGTTTAAAATTCAAAGAGGTTATGACGACAGAAAATTGAAGAAGGTCAGAGTTTACAACGGCTGATATTCTTTGAGTATAACAATCATGATTAGCATGTTAGTCAGAATTGAAAGTTATATAATAATAATAATAATGATGATAAATTAGCGCAAAATGCAGATTCTATGATAAATCTCCAGAAACAAACGATCATCTTGTATCAGGTTGCGTCGTATTGGCACCCATTGAATATAAAACTCGGCATGACAGGGTGGGCCAATATCTGTACTGGAAAATCTGCAACTTTTACGGAAAGGAAACTGCAAGAAATTGGTATGAACACCACCTTGATCCGGTCACAGAGATAGGACCTGTAACAATTTATGGGACTTTACAATACACACAGACAGAACACTTAAAGCTCAGACATCGTGATCAAAGACCAAAAAACAAACAAACAAACAAACAAACAAACAAAAAAAAAAAAAAAAAAAAAAAAAACAAACAAGAAAACCCCAAAAAACAATGTGCCTTCTTATTGACATGGCAGTCCCTGAAGACTTGTAATATATCTTTGAAGATTTTCAAAAGACTATCAAAATACAAGGACCTTGAAATCGAAATCTAAAAAAATGTAGCACATAAAAACATCACCAATTTCAGTTGTAGTTGGAGCCCTCGGATTGACTGGAAAAGATTTCAATAGACTCATTGAAGCCCATGCCTTAAAGAAATACAAAAAATTGTTCTCACGAGTCCAGCTCACACCTTACGAAGGGCTTTACTATGTAAAATATGTGTGATCTTAGCGTTATTTTTTCTGAAAAACTGCTTAGTGGAAAATGTCATAATGCCATTTCTTACCTTGAGTCTCTGGTTGGGACCCGTGAAGAAATGAATATAGAACAGAAATCAAAGGAAATAATAATAATAATAATAATGCAGGTTGAGTATCCTTTATCCGAAATTCTCAAATCCGAAAAGCTTCAAAATCCGAAGGTTTTTCAGGTGTTGACATCACTTGTCACAAATGGAAAATTTCAGAAAGCACTGGAAAGGTTCCTAGGTGATGTGCAGTTGCTGTAAGTGACCTCATCTGCCCTGACATTGCCTCCGGTTGTTTGTTAGCGATCGTTCGTGGATTACTTACCAGCTGTTTCGTGTTCAGCAAAGATATTATTCAAAATGTCAAAAGTCTTGCATTTGTATATTTTTTGTAAGTAGTGATCATGTTTTCTGTACACGTACAGAAAGGAAAAAAATATTTTTACGTGAAATCTTAATTTCACCATTTAAACTCCGTGTGAGAATTACATGAATAGCGTCATTATCTGTATCTGTTTGAACACAAAATTTAATAAAGTTTGTAAAAAACTACTTTCAGGGTATATGTATAAGCTGTGTTATGAAGTGTAAAGGGATATCATATTTATGCTTGGGTTCCATTTCCAAGCTGCCTCATTTTATAGATGCTGTATATAAATTAAATAACCTATATTCCAAAATCCGAAAAAATCTTAAAACCGAAGTATTTCCGATCCCAAGAATTTCAGATAAAGGATTCTCAACCTGTAATAACAGCACCTCATCTAAAAATGTCGACAAATTATCTGCATTCTATAAAAATTATATTATTGGTATTTGTGCCCGACTGTATCTTATAGTCTTCTTCTTCTATGTGCCGTTTCTCTTCGGGACGTGAGCGATCATAGCTCTCCATACCTTCATATCCTTGTACCCCTTACTGACGTTTGTCTTTTTTGTCATCCCTTCCATCTCGGTTCCGTCATCCATTGACACAAGCTCTTCAGGTAAGGGGGGCGGGCACTTTTTTCCTCTCTACTTCTATATGTCAAATTTTCCAAGCCTTCCTCTTTCATTGTGTGTCCCAGATATTTCAAATGCCTTTTGGAAGGCATCTTTTGCTATCCCAATGTATCTTCGGATTTCGGTGTTTCATTTTCCAGCCTATGTTAAAAATAATTCAAATTTAAACTTCTGTACTTATTTGATTTTGAGATATCTATTTCGAAATTCGTATCTTGGACTTTATTTTTGCTGACGACCATACATTCTGTCTTCTTACAATTGATAGTTAGTCCTTTCTTCTCGCTTTCTTTTACTAACTTGTCTAGGAGTTTTGCTTTTGTGTCTGCCATCAACACAGTTTCATCTGCATATCTTACACTGTCAAGATTGTGCCCAGCAATAATAAATCCTGGCAGGGTCACCCGCACATTTAGAATAGCCTTGCTGTATATTTTGAATAAATCCAGTGAGAAGACACATCCTTACCTTACTCTCCTTTCTATTTGTGCCTAACTATTGAATTCATTTTCTGTCCGGATGCAGGTAGTTTGCCCCGAAAATAAGTTTAATTCTAACATCATTCATTCATTCAGTTTAGTGCATTTTGCACCGCTGTGATTACCATTTCACCATCATTTCTGTTGTAATTGTGGTTCATGGTGACAAGAAAGGCAAAAAAATGCGATGGCTTGCTGATTCCTTTTGTACGGGGAGGTCGAGGTGACCACGTCCCTCCTCTTTCTTCGTCCACTGGTAAAGCCGTTGACCTCTGAAGCGCAGCTCCTACGCCCAGGCTGACGACTGTCCGGCGGCCGCTTGGCACAGTTGGATTGGGGAGAGGCGTTCCAAGTCACCAGTGTGGCTGTCGCAGTGCCCATGCGTCTTCTTGGAGACAGGCGTGAAAGTTGGATGTAGGTTGTGGACCAGTACAGTTCCGCATACCAATTCACCTGAGTAAAGCAAGGTCGACCGTTTCGCTGCAAAGATACTATCACTGACGATACACTCCCATACACACTTTTAATTCCAAAATAGTACTAGTTTTCAAAAATTTGTACTAGTTTTCAAAAATAGTACTAGTTTTCTACCGTGCCTTAAATACTTTTGCGTAATCTATATAACATAAGTGTACATGCTTCTGCATTTGTATTATTCTCTCTGATATCATTCTGATATTATAGCAGAACATATATATATATATATATATATATATATATATATATATATATATATATATATATATATTAGCCGTTTCCTTACAAAGGAAACATTTGGTATTCATTGACCGAGCAGCCAGTACTGTTTTCGATATAAATAACATCTTTCCCTTATAACAATTTTTAAGGAAAATAGGTTTCTCAAGTACAGTAGCTGTTATAGCTCTTTCCAGTATTGATGGGAGTTTCCTTCCTAACCTTTTGTTTGAAGTCGTGTGGAACGTAAACATCTTGGTTATGTCATTATCTTCTCTTCGAATTACATATATTAGACATTTTAGTTTTTGCTGTTGTTGATGTGGTTTCTATTATTTGGTACAGTAAATGGTGTGGTATTGTAGCGCCGGTCAGTGTGATTCGAAAAAGAATGGTCTTTGATAAGAACTAATGTCTTCAATTGGTATGAAGCTATTTTTATTCATCCATCTGAGAAAACGACAGCTTAGGTATTTCTAAACGGGTTTTGGCACCAGGCATGGCATCCATATGTTAATACTAATCCGACGAGGCTATTAAAGAACATGACTATTTAGGGTTTTGTGCTATCCATTTTAGTTATTGCTGCTGTTGATACTCCTCAAGTGATGTGGTTTCTCTTATTTGCTAAAGTTCTTTGTGATTTTGTAGCGCCAGTCCACAGAGAAGGATGCTTTTTGCCAAAACTCTCAGATTTTACTCGCTCAAAGCCTTTTTTCATCATTGATCTCAGGAAGCGCTTGTATGCAGTTAACAGTTTAGATATTTCTGACCGTGTTTGGTGCCATGCATAACATCCATATAAAAAGCTAGATCTGAAGAAGCTATTTCAGAACATGATTCGAGTTTTGAGGTTGACATTTTAGGCACTTCTTAGGTTAACTGGTCCGCTCGTAAAGTAAAATGGACAAATTATTTTGGAATAATATTTGTAGGTTATCCTTCATTAGATTTTCCTCTAACCACATTTGTCAGAATTTAGAAATATTACTATTCGTAATATAAAAGCAGATTTCCTAAAGAGTTATGTGTACTTTGTTTTTATTTAAAAATGTCCAAGTTTGAAACTGTTTACGCCATTTATAACTGCGTACTATTACAGCTTGAAAAGAAGGATGATAACTTCAGCACGCAATTATTACTATTTAATCGACAAAAATAATTAAAAAAAAACCTACGAGTATACCGATTTATATTTTATTTTTTGTTACAGGACTGAGCATTCGTAGATATGACGTTTAAGCCGACAGTTCCAAAAGGGCCGATCGCTGCTATGTACAGCAGTCCAGGGCCGTGTTACCAGCTACCTACTCTGGTCGGCCAACAAGGCCATGATTCGAGGAGTACTCACCAGAAAGCTCCTAGTTATCAGTTTGGCATACGACATGGTTCAAGGATTGATAATTGCAGCCCGGGACCCAAGTACAACTTCACTGAGTTTCAAGTTTACCGTGATGGTAAAGATGGCACCCCGCATTACTCCTTGTACAGCCGTCCGAGGGACTCGACTACTTTTAAGACGCCTGGCCCGGGGACCTACTCCCCAGAAAACACAACGGGGGCTTATTTTGCAGCCGCTCCAATGCATAGCTTCGGACAGAGACATAAACATCGAACAACTGATTTAACTCCAGGTAAAGTTTAATTTATTTTCTAAAATTAAACTGATCTCATTATTATTATAATGGATTCCGTTGTTATGACAACACGGGGTATTACTCGACGCCGGTCGAAGTGACCAATAATATTCTGGCCATGAAAAGCGAATATCTTATTACTAAATAGTGAGATCAGATTACTGATATATTTCTTTTAATTTCTTTTGTTTTGTGTTACTTTTCTTTGGATATATTTTTTAAATTTTTACTGATTTAAACGACAGATTTTTTCTTCTTCAATGCGGTAACAGAGAAAACGTAGCTTACTGATTTAAAAATCTCCTTCCTAGTCTTTTGAACAGGAGTAGAGGTTTATCCCTTGTTTCCTGTCTAGGACTGGGTTTCTGGTTCCTTCTAAAGTCTACGTCAACTCTATACTTCAGCTCCATCTAATCTCTCAAATCTTATTTAATAGATTTTTATTTCTTTTTTCTCAATTCTTCTCCTTAATACGAGTAGATAGGTTCGCCTATCATCCGGTTCACACTCCTCCCCTGTCTTTTAAACAGTTGTAGAGCTTTATTTCTTGCTTCCAGTTTAGAATTGAGTATCCTGGATCCTTCTAAAGTCTACTTCAACTCTACTTCTACTTCAGATGTCTTCGTCTGAACTCTGGAATTTTACTTACTAATTATTTATTTCGATTTTTTTTATTCTCGTTTCATCTCCTCAATAGGAGTGAATAGGCTCACCTATCGCCCGGTTCATACTTCTCCCCTGTTTGTTGAACAGGGGTAGAAATTCATCACTTGTTCTATGTTTAGGGTTAGGTTTCTATTCCCCCTAAAGACTTTTCATTCTCTTTCGCTTGTAGTAGCCCTTGCGTCTTAGTGACATTATCGCCTTGCCCGAGGGTGGGTGGGAGATAATTGATTAAAACAGTAATTGCAAAATTAGTTAAATATTGCCATTATTTTATACGGTAAGATAGTAACGACAGTTTAATTCAGAGTTTAATAGCGTAGGATTTTCCTATATTGTCTTATTACTCTTAGCTCAATATGGCAGCACTGTCTTAATTCTATCAGCCCTTAAAAGATTTCATTTTTTAAATCTCTGACCGAATTGTTGGAAAATCTGAATATGTCAAGTTTGTTCAATTAAACTGTCATAGTTCGTTGACAATGAAATATTACAAGTTCATTTTATATGAAAGTAAATTGATTTCTGTATCATATGATCGCAAATTTAACGCCAGTCCACAGAGAAGGATGCTTTTTGCCAAGACTCTCAGATTTTACTCGCTCAAAGCCTTTTTTCATCATTGATCTCAGGAAGCGCTTGTATGCAGTTAACAGTTTAGATATTTCTGACCGTGTTTGGTGCCATGCATAACATCCATATAAATATGATCGCAAATTTAACCTGTTTGGTATCACACTGGTCATGAGATAAAGTTTCGGAAATCTACAACGGAAATCTCTGAAATCTACAAAGTTGTGAATTTCCGGACTCTCTAATTGATCATACGAAAGATGTTGACGTTTGGCATTGAAATACATTGGCATCCAATTGCCGGCACATTCAGGCACTTCCGGACCATAAGAATGCCTTATCTTTTATCTTGTTTTATCTGTTTCACGTTTTTCAATTTACACATAATAATAATAATAATAATAATAATAATAAATCTAAATTGGGCATATTAGACCGTATTTGATGACGGCATTGACCATATACATTTTTACTTTTCTTTTCTTTAAAACTATTAATAACCACAGCTCCAAACAGCTACAGCCTTCCAGGATTACTCGGGAAAACTATACAGGGTGGCAAGCTCCAAGCTCCATCGTACACAGTTCTTGGGCGGAAGACTATCGGAAGTTTCCATGAAGATTTGGCAAAGGTAAGCAAAGGTGTACTTATTATCTTTTTCTTTCTTTCTTTCTTTCTTCCTTTCTTTCTTTCTTTCTTTCTTTCTTTCTTTCTTTCTTTCTTATTCCTGTCCTTTGTAGCTCTTGATAACTCTTACCTTTTTGTTATCTCTCCTAAATCTTGATCCACCATCCATTTACTAAAGCTCACTAGGTAGGATATACGTTGTTTTCCTCTGACCCTCTTACCTTCACTCTGTCCTGTGAGTATCAAATTTTTTAAGCTGTTTTTTCTCATCGTATGCCCTAAAGAATTCAACTGTCTCTTCCCGGTGTTAAGTGTAAATGTCCTCTTTGTTTCCATTTTCTCTAAAACATCGACGTTGCTCACATGTTCAGTCCAGAGTATTCTCATCATCTTGTTTCAAGACTTTTCTTTATCTTTGTTTTTAACGAAATCTTACTGTTTAGATAAGATTAATTTCATATTCAACTACTGTTTCACTATCGTGTCTACTCGTATCTATCTATCTATCTATCTATCTATCTATCTATCTATCTATCTATGTATGTATGTATTTTCAACGTAAAAAAACACGGAAAATAGTGAGGTGCGTAAGAGAAGTAGATATTATGAGAGTATGTAGGATAGATAACAGTTGAACCTTCTAGTGATCGGAGAAGCATCCTTTCGGGTGTCTGTTCCATGAAGTAAGTTCTGTGGAAGAACCTTTTTGAATGAAACTTTCTCCTTACTAATGGAATACAAAGTGAAGGAGGAGGATTTGACCCTGTGTTCATGGCGGGTGCTAGCTGTGAAATGAAATACGAATCAGTAAAATGTTATACATATCTGTTTTAAAAATAAGTTATCTTTTTCAGACTCCTGGACCGGGTGCCTACAGTGTTAGTAATCCCAGCAAGTATCGAATGAAAGCTCCTGAATATAGTATGCTTTCACGAAATGCACCACCCGGAGACACTACCGTAAAACCTGGACCTGGGGCGCATTCTCCCGAGAAGGTGAGTAGGGAAAATCTCTAAAGCGACTTTTGTTCTCTCAGTTGTTGGCCATTAATCATCATTCACCTGACCTCTTTTATGCCTTCTATAATAAATCATTTAAAAACTGCAACAATATCAACACAGCTACACTCCATACAATACATTATTATTATAAATGTTTTACAACGAAAATCATATAATATATAACCTTTTGCAATTTCTATTGTATATATGTTGCAATGAAATTCTATAGTAAGTCACATATATTATGAAATGGATGAAGTACGACTATTATTTATAGTTATTTTATTTTTTTGTTTATACCTTATTTTTATAGATATTTTTTTATTTAAGCAAATGCTACGTTTTTTAATTAAACAATATTAATTACATTTACCATATGACTGTAATCATATGACGCTTCCCATTAGGGTTATAGGTTCGATTCCTATCGGAGAACGCATATTTTCTACAAGATTTCTCGAACATTCAGGCCGGTAATTAACACTGTTTAATTAAAAAAACAAAAACAAAAAAACAGAGCATTTACTTAAATAAATGGTAAATCCTATATCAATATTACATTTTCTGCAACACTATAGTCATTATTTCAAGGAAAATTGTAATAAATAATTTATAATGAATTTCTATAGAAAATTTTGCAATGTATTGCTATGGTAAAATAATTCATTTCAATAATAAAAAACAGACTAGGCATTCGATTGTATGTCCCGGTTCCTTGATTTTGGCAATCATTGTCCCTGGCTATCTTTTATTTGCAGCAGTTGGTGGATGATACGAGCACGTTTGGAAGCTGCTATTTTAATGCACTTCATACATCTGAATAAGAAATTCAAATTGTATAAAAGTTGGCACGTCGTGCGCAACATTATGTAATCTATCTATCTATCTATCTATCTATCTATCTATCTATCTATCTATCTATCTATCTGTAAGGCTGTTCATTATCTATCTATCTATCTATCTATCTATCTATCTATCTATCTATCTATCTATCTCAGTCTGTTCAATTTGTTTATATCATTCTGTTCATATCATCTATCTATCTATCTATCTATCTATCTATCTATCTATCTATCTATCTCAGTCTGTTCATATTTGTTTATATCATTCTGTTCATATCTATCTATCTATCTATCTATCTATCTATCTAAAATGGAACAAGACAAGATATCGCTAGACCGGAATAGTGCAATGAGAACAATATATTTCCGTAGATTAAATAAAGAGTTCAGTTCGAATTTCCCTGAAAGTTTCTCGGATCGAAAACACATGAAGAAGGCCGAATGACACAACGGTCGAAATGTTGTGGTAACAAAGATGACGACATTACTCCGAATGTAAATAATATAAATAATGATAACTCCTCATCCCAGAATGAATACGCCATGTTTTAATGACAATCAGTAAGAATGTCTTTTGGAGTTAATTTCATTTTTGCATAATAAATGGTAATTTTCTCATCTCTTTTTTCTCTGTCTGCAGTTTTGGCCTCATAAAAAATCAGCTCCAGGCTACAGTTTCGGGATTCGTCATTCACCATATACAACGCCCTTCATCATTGAAGTTGCCGATTAAATCCCCACCCCCCCCAAACTTAACATTTTATCAAGAAACATCAGATGTAAGTAATTTCATATTTCTTTTGTGTTAATTCTGTCCATTCAGTCAGCAATCCTGTTATTCATGTCGAAAAAAAAAAAAAAAAAAAAAAAACGATTTCAAATGTAATGAATCCGGACTTGGCATTTTCTCAATACACTTCCCCTTCGGCCCTGTGCCAAAATTGTAATTATATTGCAATAAATAATATTTGTTATATATATATATATATATAAATGTAAAATAAAAGTGATTTTCACTGTTACAGTGCATTTCTGGCATCATTTGATTGTAATACATGTAAAAATATCCGTGGATATGAACGGATTATGCTAAAAATAAGCAGACGTAATGTTTGTAATTTATTTATCAGGCATGCTTAAAAGGTAATTTGGTGCTTAAATACGAAAATTTAGCTACTGGCGCAATTTAAACAAAAGAATCATGTGGGTACCTCTTTGGCATGACACCTGTTCGCAGTTGACTATTTAACTACACTGAAACTCATCGCAACACTTGTCACCAACTAAAGCTGAGGCACAGTTTGTACACGGCTATGAGTGATACTATATGCCAGAAGGGCTGAAGATGAACCCCTTAGTATGCATATAGTTTACCAGCTTCACAAATGACTCTAATTAAACGAAAGGGACATATGATTATCGCTTTGTCATGACACACTGGACTCTTTTACCACATTGAACAAAATCGTAACACACGTGTCATCATTGATAGATAGGAAACAGATGAAAGACTAATATGAATGTTACGATATCGCAAGATCGTTAAAGACTGGAAATTTTAGCAGAATATTTGCTAAATCATAGAAATGAACATACTGCATAAATGTCAAAACTACTATCGCCCTTCAGGCTTCTGATTTTCTTAGTATATATATATATATATATCTATATAACAGAAATATAAGTGTGAAGTTTAATATGACTAGACATATTAAAAGCGAAGCAACCGGTTTCGCTCCCGCTCTTTAGGCCTCCACGGGAGATTTAACTAAACACTAGAAAATGTGCAATGAGAAGGAAAAGTGGGGAAAAAAGGATATGAGCTCAAGGAGCGAGAGACAAATAAGAGCGAGCCCCAACAAACACTCACGCTGTTTACACAGGGAAGGTTTGCGGGACCCGATATAAAGTGCCTCCAACACGTTGAGGTGAAATAAAGAGTGTGACCGGGACAAAACGGGAGCAAACCGGTTGCTTCGCTTTTAATATGTCTAGTAATATTATGCTTCACACTTTTATTTCTGTTATTAAATTTTCTACCTACAAAATATTTTCAAATATATATATATATATATATATATATATATATATATATATATATATATATATATTCTCTCGGCACTGTCATCCCTGTCGCCACTAGCAGCTTTTGCCACCGGATAGGGTATTGTTTTTGTATGCCTGTCAGTCTGTTGCATTTTCTTTTTACAACTTCACCTGAAATTTTGAAGGTTGTGTTAAAATACACAACGCGCTCATAACGACCGTTATCAACGACCCTAGTATGGAATGTAAACAGATGTGTTTCACGTCGCAAATAGCATTTTGTTGCTGGCATGGTTTAATTTAACTTTATTTATTTTGGATCCTGATCAAATCCAATTCGATGCTTGTTGAGCTGCGGACTGGAGACAATGTGAAGCACGCTTTAGTTTTCGGTCATTGATTCTCACCTTCAAAAGGAACATATGAGGAATATATATATATATATATATATATATATATATATATATATATATATATATATATATATTGTTAAATATAACAGACAACGAATCTATTATGTTTGATCATGAGTCGTTCTAAGCTTCGTATAGTGGCTTTAGTTTCGGGAGAAAATAAAAACAAAAACAAAACTCACTGTTTCTCGATTTAAGCTTTCGGCTCACATGAGCTATCATCAGAGTAGGTATATCGACGGTTATGGTCGCATATCAAACTTTTATGTAAATATAGCAGGATGTCATCTTTGATGTTGAACATCTCTGTTGTAATGTCCATATAACCAACATTTAAAGTGGCATATCTAACCGCTGGGCCGTTTGGAAATTTTATACATTCGTGTAGTTTCTTGAAGGTGACATGACCCCCATCGATGATGATGTCTATATTGACAAATATATAACATTTTTCCTAACGCAGCAGCTTCATTTTTTATAGTATATATACAATATATATTGATGCATTGAAAAAATCGTGGAGAGTGTTTCATTAAGACGGATCAAAGTCAGTGTTATTAATGAAAATTTATTTATTTCCCCTATTGGATCATGTTATTTATGTCATGGCAATTATATGTGAAAAATAATATCGCCAAATATCCGCCAAATCTGAAAGAAAAAGAAAAAAAATCATTAGACGCTTAAACTTAATTCAAATGAAAATCGGAACACTCTTTATAAGCAGTCAATTGCTGATACCCCACGAAACTCTGGAGTCAGGATGCTGAAGGTAACATCAACCAGTGACAAACTTTTTACTTGTATTAATTTCTCTCTCTCTCTCTCTATATATATATATATATATATATATATATATATATATATATATTAGATAACGATGATATATATTTTATATCTCAAGAACAATAGTGTGAAAAATATAAGTCCTTTAATACTTCATCGGACTAAATTTGTTACGTTGGTGTGACTACACATGAGCACGAACGGGGATGCTGGGAATTTTAATTTTAAAATTATTTCCGGCGGTGGTGGGGGGTATAGTTTAGCTGATTTCATTTATCTTCATTTTTTCGTTTTGTTTCCATCACTTTTGTTATTAGATATCTCACACTGTGATGATAGCTTAAACTTGAAGGAGGAATTTACTCTATAGCCTGTAATAATTATCACAAAAATATATATCGGAGATATATAAATATATAACAATATATTTATACAGACGCAAAAAACAAAAAACAAAAACAAAAAAAAATCATTTCTAATTCTTTGCGCATCTATTATTTCAGGCATGTTACGGCTCTCCCTGTTTTGCACGCCTTCGCTAAGTATACTTCCGCCGAACAAATTTGTTATTTTAGTGCGACTACACACGGGCACGAACGCGGGATGCTGGGAATTTTAAATAAATTTTTTTTTGCATCATAAGGTCTTTTTTTTATATAACCATATTAAATAATTTATACACACTTCAAGATTTTGTCGCCTATGATGAATGATATTTTATATAATGTATATTAATATCTTCTAGGTTTTTGACTCATTCTTTTCATTAAATAAAAGCGAAACATGTTAAATTTATGAATGTTTCCTATTTGTCCGTTATTCTATCATTCTGTCGAATTTAATCCATACTTGATTCCAATATATACATATGTGTGTGTGTGTTCGTGAATGCAGAAAGAATGCAGAAGAGAAATGATTGTCAGTGGTTAGGAATTAATTCAAACTTATCTAATACAATAATAAAGCGGTTAATTGACATATATATAGGTATAGATATAGATATAGATAGATAATAATTATGTTTCTCTTATTTGTTTTTTTTTTTTTTTATTTCTTTGCAGTTGTGTCAAGAGCCTCCCGGGAAATTGTTTAAAATGGATTTTGAAATTCTTCGAAAAGAAAACCTGGTTCAGAAAATGAGAGAAAGAGACAAGCGGGCAGAGAGAGAGAGAGAGAGAGAGAGAGAGAGAGAGAGAGAGAGAGTGAGAAAGAAAGAGAGAGAGAGAGAGAGAGTTTTAGAGAGAGAGGGAGAGAAAGGGAGAGGGGAAAAAGAGAGGAAAAAAGAGATATGTTGAAGAACAATTCGAGGCGCAATGGGAGAAATTCCTGCAAAACAAAAACAAAAGAAAAAACAAAAAACTGCCATCATCTGCTGACAAAAGACGACATTTAAGTTATCGCGTCGCAATCAATAAAAAAAAAAAATATATGAAGGAAGACAAGCGGGAAGGCATTTTAAATCATTTTCAAATATTTGACTTCTTTTAGATGAGTGACTCATTGTTGCTGATTTTTTTTTTCCATTGTTATTATACATTTCTTTACAACGTAACCCTCTCTCAGTTTCTTTCTTTTCTTTTCTTTCTTTCTTTCTTTCTTTCTTTCTTTCTTTCTTTTCTTTCTTTCTTTCTTTCTTTCTTTCTTTTTTTTTTTCTTTCTTTCTTTTTACCCATCCCTATTTCTTTCTTTCTTTCTTTCTTTTCTTTCTTTCTTTTTTTTTCTTTCTTTCTTTCTTTTTTTTTGCCCATCTTTCTTTCTTTTTTCTTTCTTTTCTTTCTTTCTTTCTTTTACCCATCCCTATTTCTTTCTTTCTTTCTTTCTTTCTTTCTTTCTTTCTTTCTTTCTTTCTTTCTTTCTTTCTTTCTTTTACCCATCCCTATTTCTTTCTTTCTTTCTTTTACCCATCCCTATTTCTTTCTTTCTTTCTTTCTTTCTTTCTTTCTTTCTTTCTTTCTTTCTTCATCAATCCCTAGGATTTTGTTCAGTCGTATCAAACTGTTATTTCTCCATGCCACTCTATCTATCTATCTATCTATCTATCTATCTATCTATCTATCTATCTATCTATCTATCTATCTATCTCTTCATGGTCATTATCTATATATATATCTATCTACTTTATTTTTTGCAGTGTCATTTGGTAATATTAGTAATACTGATGTATCCAACTCTTCTTTTACATATTCTCTGTGAAATATCCTGTGATACTCTTATCTGTGATAATGTTGGTCTATAGATTCAAACTAGTGATTTTTTACATGTCTTCATATTTCATAAGTCCATTTTCGAAACTTTTCGAGAATGATTTTGGTGTTGTAGGAAGTAAACAAACAAAAAAGAAAATATTTTTCTGACCAACGCAATAATTTAATAACTTTTAACTCAATTGGGAAAATCAAAAAGAAAACAAAAAACAGCAATAAAGTCTTGATCACATGTGAAATCATGCTGCAGACAAGTTGGAAAAAGCTTCTTTGCGATATTTAGAGAGATATAACGAAAAAGAAAAATGTTTATTCTTTTCTAGGATATCCAAATTATTTAATAATTGTTTGGCTGAAATATGAGACAGAGTAAATAATCAACACACAGTTTTGATCATTCTCTCATTCAACAAAATATTTTCTGGTTTAGAAAAATAGAAAGCAAATAATACTAAATAAAGAGTGGAAATAAAATTTCCTTTGTGCTTTGACATTTTGTGTAGCATGTTATTCTTTGTCGAAATTCTGTAATTCTTGATAAGAAACAAATAACGTCAAATAATTTCATTCTCGCTAATGACATGTACAAATGTTAAAGGATTTATAACAAAAATACATCAAATGATTTCATTCACAATATTGACCACATATAAAAAGGTGAAGGATTTATGACAAAAATGCAACAAATAATTTCATTTTCGCTAATGACTACATATAAAAAGGCGATGGTTTATGACAAAAAGACATGAAATCATTTCATTCTCGCTAATGACTACATATAAAAATGTGAAGGTTTTATGACAAAAATGCAACAAATAATTTCATTCTCGCTAATGACCAAATATAAAAACGTGTGGGATTTATGACAAAAATACATCAAATAATTTCATTCACTATAATGACCACATATAAAAAGGTGAATGATGTATGTCAAAAATACATCAAATAATTTCATTCTCGCTAATGACCACATACAAAAAAATGGAAGGATTTATAAAACAAATACGTAAATCATTTCATTCACTTTATTGATTCAAATATTCACAGAATTTACAGTTGTCCAGCTTATTAATCATAAAGCTAAACGTATTTGTTGGCTACCGGCGGACTGAAGCCACCACTTGCAGTTTATCTTTTATAGGCTAAGCACATTCCTCTCTCATGTCTACAGTTTTCTAATTTGAAAAATTTTGATATAATAAAATATATTTTGTCGCAATTTGCATTTAATTACCAGTTTTTTTTTTCTTCGTACACTGACGAAGATTCGGAAAATTTCCCGTCAAGTTTCAACTTTTTAGGTTTTGTTATTAATTTACACAGGGTAGTGAAATTTTAAGAGAAATATCTTGTTTACCTTGAAAAAAATATGAATAAAAAGTTAAGCGACTCACGCCATTTTCGTTCGTCATTGAGATTAATCAACTGATTCAGACCCGTTCTTTCAAGAAACCGTTTTCACTTTGGATGTAAGACTTTTATGAAAGCCTTGATTTGTTTACATTGTCACTGCATCCATCTTTAGTTACATGTTTCATTTAGTAATTTCATCTAAAGAGTTTCTTACCAACTTCATCACAATTACAATTGGAAAGAATTTATCTAAGCTTAGCATAAAATTTGTTACAAATAATTCTAAACCAATAAAAACTTAATACAAGACAAAATAATATGTTAAAACGTGGAGGAATTTACTTTGTCACCTGTAATAATTGCCTCAACAAATACCTTTTAATCGTTTCGCTCCAAGCAAGGCAATAAAGCCACTAAGATGCAAGGGGCTCATGAGTGTAAGAGAATTTTAGAAAAATATACTATTAAGGGGAGAAGGCAATAACTCAGAAGACAGAAGATAATGATTGACATTGCATTTAAATTTCTGAAGATCAAATTTGACTGGAACGTAGGAAGCCGGAAGAGAGTTCGACAAGTGCGAAATGCAAGAGAAGAAACTGTTAGCATAGAACTTACGGTTACATCTAGCTATTTCAACTGTAAAATGACGAGATCTTGCCGTCAATATAGTCTGACCATAATTTTGATTTAAAAAATTCTGCTTTAATTAAAAAAGAAAGCAATTTACTAAAACGAAAGTGAAAAGAAAATGCTTGCATCAGTAAATTCGCGTCCAGATTCTTACAAAATTTATCACAAAGCGCGATATTTAATAACAAAAGCAATAAAATATAATCAAAAATAAAACAAAATCTTTATCTTGTGTCCTATTTCTTGGAATATTTGGTAAAAAATGTTTTGTTCAAAATCCTTCTTCTTAACCCAATTATGAATTCCCTAGGTCATCATCAGCAGCAGCCTCCACCGACCACAATCATTAGTAAGATGACCTCGGGTAGAAAAACATGACTCTACACTATTTTATATTAGACGATAGAAGAAGAAAAGAAAACGTGAAAAAAGGGAATGAAGATGAAAATTCCCGGGACTTTGGAGAATTATTGTTTTATTTTATGAAGAATGGAAACCAAAATTTGTGCATTTGTTGGCGCGAAACGTTAGACACCATTAACGGGTGCTAGTGAATTACTACAGAATTTGCGCGCTATTTCATGATCAATTTACAGAGTTGTTTTACAATAAGAGGTTCACCCTGCACAATTATCAAGAGCTAAAGGATTAAAACCATAGGTAGAAGGTTAAAGAGAGATAAAGGGCATTGTTTATGAAGACATATGAAGAAGACATCGGTTAAATTTAGACTTAGATAGGTAGATAGATATGTAAACACTCAGATAGATAGATAGATAGATAGATAGATAGATAGATAGATAGATAGATAGATATGTAAATACTCAATTAGATAGATGGATAGATAGATATGAACAGCTAGATAGATAGATAGATAGATAGATAGATAGATAGATAGATAGATAGATATGAACAGAAAGAGATAGATAGATAGATATGAACAGAAAGAGATAGATAGATGGATGGATAGATAGATAGATAGCTAGGAACAGAATGAGATATATGGATATATAGGTAGATAGATAGATAGGAACAGAATGAGATAAATGGATAGATAATTAGATAATCTGAGATATGAGTTGATTGAGATAAAAGATAAAGATATAAATGAAAAAGATAGGTATGAACGCAGATTTAGATAGATAAAAACGTATATGAACAGAATGTTATATATATATATATATATATATATATATATAAATGAAAATGAGTGGATATGAAGGCAGATAGATAGATAGATATGAACAGAGATAGATAGATATGAACAGAATGAGATAAATAGATAGATAGGAACAGAATGAGATAGATAGATAGATAGATAGATAGATAGATAGATAGATAGATAGATAGATAGATAGATAGAGAGATAGATATGAACAGAATTAGATTGACAAGGAATGGGAGAGTTATGAGGGGCTACAAGTTAGTCTAAACTTAAATATACAGATCCTCTTGAATAATAAATTGATACTTATTGAAAAATATACAACTCAATGCAAACTATAAACTGTCGTGAGGAAAGAAGTCGATTCTGAGATTTTGTAGCGAAGGAAATTCGGCTGAAAAGATAAACAATAGAATGTTTGAGAATAATCAGTTTATTCTGTTCATCTATTAGCAAAATAGAAAGTTAATTAGCACCCTGTCATTGCCTCATATAAATAATAGACCATTCCGAGTGTGAAGAAAAACGGAAAAAGAAGCTACATCAGAGATACTTCTTGGTCTTAATGAAAAAGACAAAGCATACATAATAATAAGAAGAAAAAAAGAAAGAAAGAAAGAAATAATAAAGAAAGAAAGATAGAAAGAAAAAAGAAAGAACGACACAGGAGCCGATAAGGCTCTCATATGTCTAACGTCTGCTTCAGCAAAATTAATCAATTTTTAAACTTTTTATTTGTATCCTCTCACTTCTTTAAATTTAAATATAAATAGCACAGCCACTCGAAACCGAGGATGCCAGTCTACTAGGGCGGTTATCCAATCCCCATTGCAGACGCCTGCTCAGGCGCATTTCTGTTTGTTTAACACTCACTGAGTCCACCTGTGGTTTATACTGCGACTATGCTGAGCGGACGTTTCTGAGAGAACGCGCGTTATCTAGCGTGATCAACAGTCTAAATAAGGCTAGTAAACTCAAAGCCTCAATCACGATGATTTGTGACTTCGTGCTAGCACAACCACCGACCGTTCCCAAGTGTTTCGTCTACCCAATTTCACTGACAAGGCTTGGGTCAATCCGTGGAATGATTTTCAGGCACTTTCCAAAGGTGCTGCACGCTGAGATCGCCTCCTCCACAGCGATAACATCAAGAAGTCACCTTCCTGACGAATCAACCCTGGTGAGATTCGAACCCGTGTTTTTATGGTCAGAAAGCTAACGTTCTAACCACTCTTTAAATAATGACTTGTATTCATACTTACGTATGTTATTGCAATATTTTGTTAAAATTCTTAAGCTCAGACATTTAATCATGCAACACGTGAATTTCGCCGTGCATTTTATGGTCATGGAATTCACATGGAGCTTATCTCATCATGAGGAATTACAATTCATCAGAGAATTCAGTTTGGAAAAAACATGTAATTCTCAGAAAGTAAAAGTAAATTTACAGACATATAAATAAAGAAACAACTTGCAGAACAAACCAAAAGTTTTATGGCAACAGATTATAAAGTTACAGAAAGAATACTTTAGAAAAACAGTGTTTAACAAACATTAAAGAAAATTACCTTTTTCTTATCAAAATGTTCACTCTGTATAAGGCCTAAGAACAACTCGAGGTAGAGGGTTACAGAGTAAGAGGTAAGCGGCACAGTCTACGGGGATATATTGGGAAGATAAGAGATAACCATAGAAATGAACAGGTTAAGATCGTAGCGATCAAAGAAGTGTCATCTTGGAAGTCGATTCCACAATGTAGCGGTTCGTGGGAAGACGCTCTAGGCGAGGAAAACATCTCACCAATAGAATACGAACGGCATGAGGATAGTTCGCTA